GGACTCTTCTCTCCCAGCTGTTCCCCAGTTTGAGCAGACTCTGGAGCACTCTCAGCCTGGCACAGACATCCTGCCGCTGCTGTTTCGCCCCAGCCCAGTGCAGGCGATGCTCTCGGCTGAGCACAGCCCGCCTCCAGCGCGGGCAGCACACACGTGGCTCTGTACCAGTTATTGTTCCGGGACTGGGAGGGACTGGAGCGGAGAGGGAGCAGCCACCGCCCTCCCCATGAGTGGGGCGCGGGTGCCCCCGAGCGGCTCCTCGGCTGGGACTCACAGCAACGACGGGACGGGCACAGCCCACTGCCACAGCAATGACTTTCTAAATGGCAGTTTTTAGAGCATTCTTCTAGTTAGGAGCATGGATATTTGAGTCAATTTTTCACAGTAGCCACCGAGACACAACAGTATCCAATTCCTCATTCAGTTTCTGCTTATACTTCTCCTCTATGTCATAGTCAAACACCTCAAAAAAAATTTAAATGTTCTCACTTCGAAGTCCCTTTCTTGACCCTCTCTATTCATCAGCTTTATCTTTGCAGATATATATAGACCTGGCAGATGTTACAGGTCTAGGTATAAGAACTGAAAATGCATCATGTTAAGAGACTTATATTGGCAAATTACTGAACTATACTTCAATTTCAGAATGTGCCAAAGAGCCAATAAATAAAAATTATCAGTAAGATGGGTAAAGCTAGAAAACTGTAGTTGTGGATTAGAACAGTGACTCTTTAAGTAAAGTAACTGTGAAAAGAAGAGAATTATTGATGCAAGATACAACTGCCTTTTTTTTAAGAATTCAACCTCTTATGAATTGCTGAGTAAACATTTTTAACACAAGTCAGAGCCTTCAAACAACTCTTCCTCTAGAAAAATGTTATCGAGAGGCACACCGCCAACACTTTTATGTAGTCTTAACTTCATCAGAAAGGAAATGCTCAGTAGTATGTCATATTCCATTTCCTACAATTTTTACCCGCTTCCACACTTCTAGTTGCCATACTTGTTAACTGTGCTCCTTTTTTTGAAAATCTGAGCAAGGTTTCACAAATGTATAAAATTACAGATTGTTAAAAACTGGAACAGGTGACACCATATTAGAGTGCACTGGTAGAAGAGCCTTAGAACCATAAGTCCACAAAATTTTTTTATTAAAATAACACCAAGTTTAAGAAATCAATGCAGTGCAAAGAAATTTCAGTTTGTCATACAAAAAAAACCTAATGATTTTCCATCCTTAAGTATGTAAACTGCATTCCAATCCCAACATGACTGATGCAATACAGAAACAGAAACACTGTAACCCAGATGAATGTTGCAGTTAAAGACTGGCATGCTGAGCAAGGAAGGTTCTTATTCTTTGCAAGAGTTCTTTCTTTACACTGTCTGGTACCAAGGCTGAAACACAAATAAGAAAGCAAGAAGTCAAAAATACAAAACAAAACATATGCCAAATTTTCACAACAGCAACGTCGATCCTTTGTTTGTTCTCACAATTCTGTTAATACATTGAGTAACTGAAACTACTTGATTTTCATATGGCACATCTATATTTCTCCCATTAAAGATAGGCTAAAATTGAGGTCTGTTGAAAACACTGCTGTTACTGGCAGGTTTTTTTGCCTAGACATAGTACAGAAAATAGGAAAGCTTGGGGGAAAGGATTATTGAACAGTAAACAGGATATAATCACCACAACAAACATGATTATCCTTTCTTCTTCACAAATTTAAAACCAAAAATTTCAGCCATGACCTCAGAGTAAAAGTCTCCAGCAAGTTATTTTGAAGGCCTATTTTTATTTAAAACTGAATGATGTTTCTCCCACTAACATCAAAGCTTATTAGAAAGCCCAAGAAGAAAAATGTAAGGAAGACTGCAGTTTCCTTAAGTGATTCCATTTCTTCCTCTATCTTTATGCTAGGTCCTTTACTCTTCCCATTCCCATTATAATGGCCAGTCTCTTCGCGAACGAAGAACCTGGGAAGGTCTTTCCACCTTCCAGCCTGCGCATTGGATTTTTTAGGTGAGACACAGTGTGCGCGGAACTGAGCCCACCCTTTAATCCTGAGGTTCATCTGCCGGGGCCAAGCACGCTTGGACAGTGGCAGCGAGGTCCTCAGGACGTAGATGGATTGCCTTATGGGCTAACGAGCTCCATCTGCCCGGGG